ACATAACAACTGTTTGGGAAATTTTAGTGCCCCTATTTTTGTGAGTGCTAGGTAAGTTTTTAAAATATTAATTTTATTACTTAGGAACCAGATTTTTTCTTACAGCGTCAAACTATTTATATTATATTGTGTTATTTTGTTTCTTATTATCCTAACATACAATTTATTTCAGATACATCAGGTAACACTTTAGAATCTTTCAATTTACCAATAAAACCTTTTTAATGCAGCACTGAAGTTTTTATATTTAATGATATTATTTAGATCCTTATTTTGCTAATATACAATATTTTTCAGGTAAAACAGGTAACTTTTTAAAATACTAGAAAACTCTTTTAACTAATAAGATCATTTTCTTACAGTCTTGAACCGTTCATATTTTAGGATGTTTATTACTTATTTTAATAATTATATATTTTCAAGCTACGTTGTGAATAACTAACCCAAACTAAGCTTTTAAAATATCTTAACTTCTAGTTAAGGTATTTACTTGCAGCTTTGAACTATTCATTTCGTATTGATATGATTTTTTTCAGGTTCAGCAAGTTACTTCATGAAATGTCTGACTTTAATAATTAAAGTTTTCTTACAGCTTTGGAATGTTTGCGTGTTCTTTGTGTCATGTGAATCGCGTTCTTAAATCCGAACTTCCGAAATCACTTGCAGTAGTTTACTCTGTTTGCGAACTGCAGGATTTAAGTTTTCTATTCGTAGTAGATTTTTATTGAGTGTTCAAGTGCGGTTTGGACTTTTGGATAATTAATGGACATAGAATGGAGGATGGGGCGCCAGCTTGCAGAAAGCTGGTAAGATTGATTTCTAAACTAATACTTCCTTACTGAATATTTTTTGGAATGGCCTTTACTTATTTTTAGTTTTAATATGAAATCTTACAATTTAAATGTAAAATTAGCGTTGTCTTTTTTTTCAACTACGCTTTTAAATGTCACGCAAATTGGGTCATTTATTCGTTTTTCGTTTAGTGATTTTTGCCTTAAATTAGACAGTTCTTGTATTGTTAAAAGATGTAGTTCAATTTTTCCACTTTTCCAAGTGCTTTCCACTCAGTTTTCCAACATAAACTGGTCAGTTTATCCGCAGTATACTCTTTTCACTGAACATTTAAAAAGTTTATGTAAAATAAGGGTATTTGTCTGTGAGTACACCTTGAATTTTCTTTAAAGTCGCGATATGAAAATTAATGTTTTTCTATAACAATAAAATCTAGCGTTCGGTTATGAATAGATCTTGAATTATCTGCAAAGTATTTGTATTTTCTAGCGGTAAATTAAACTTTTTGTAGTCTTCAATTGTAAAAATTCCA